TATTTGACAACGTATTGGGAAAGTATACTTTATATTATTTAGTGCTCTTTATTCTGCAGTTTGATGGCCAAATTAATCCCTGTGGTTCTTGAGTTATTTACTGCTCCATTTAACTTTTAATTGTTTAGATACACAATTAACAAGTGGAACAAGGTGGAAATTCTTAGAACAAACATAGCAAGTCCAACAGTACATAATAAAACTATAATTTCTTAACTAAATCATGTACACTAGCAAACATTTGGCCGGTTTTACAGACAAGGCTTAATAGTCACAAACTAAAATGCATGTTTGTGCTGTCTGAACTGAAAGTAACTTGCTAAATTTAAGATATGCCAGTGCCATTGTCTTGGACAGTATCAATATTCTCATCAGTAATGTTTTTTTTCCCCAGCACACTTATAAAAGCTACTTAAATGTCCTTTGACATTTGAACTAAAGCCCAATGGTAGAACTAATCACAACCACAGAAAACAATCAAGATATCAGAGGAAAAATTAGCAGCTCTATCTAAACGTCTCCAATGAAATAAAGGAAGAAGCACAGTGGTAGCTTCCCTTATTGATACGGTTCACTCGCATTGCTTCAGTCTTTAGCTGGGACTATGGCGAAACTATGAAAATGCTGAAGCCTAATTGAATAGTTTGCAACAGCACACACCTCTGGCGCTTTAGGCCAGAAATGCCAAAGATCTTCTCCTTGAGCTGACCCTCTCCCCGGAAGTGGATCTCCATCGTGAGTATGACCAGGGGCATGAGCCCACGACATCGGCGGACGAGGGAGTCGTGACTATGGACGATGAGGACTGGCTGATCGACTTCAATGAGGAATTATTGACTCCCACCCAATCCAACACGGTACCTTCATCTTTGCTGTTTTGGAACTGTACCATTGATTGACTGTATAAACTATGAACTATTCTATGTCAACAGCCCTCCTCCATCTCTACATCACATCTATCCACCCCTATGGCTATAGAGGGATCCTCATTCCCCTCGACGTCACATCTGTCCTCCATCACACCGGCCCCACCTCAGCCCTTAGGTACTCTAGCTCTACCTTCATCGGCTCTCCATCTGCACCTGTAGATCCATCGACCTCGTCCCCGTCGGTCGTCCCCCAGCTGTTGTCAGCCACTACACCACCTTGGCTCCTCCTTCCCTCGGCACTGGAGACTCTGGATCTGTGTATGTGGACTACTACCATCGCTGCCAGGGGATCGTCGTCCTCATATCAATCCTGTGTCATCGTCTCCTGTCACCACTCCTTCGCCACTTGCTCGTCCACCTCCAAAGCCCCCTCCCCTCCCTCATGGACCTCTGTAATATTGATTCCCCTTTCACATTTTAAATCAATACTCAAAACCTGTTCGACCCAAAACATCTTTTTAGAATAGCTCTGGTCACAGCATTGTATTTTAAAGGGTTAGTTCACCCAAAAATGAAAATTAAGTCATTAATTACTCACCCCCATGCTGTACCAACCCCGTAAGACCTTCGTTCGTCTTCGGAACACAAATGAAGATATTTTTGATTAAATTTGAGAGATGTATAACTACCACATTGGCTGCCTAAGGGACTGCCTCTTGACGGCCCAAAAAGTCAATGAAGAAAATGTTTATATATCCCAAGTGACTACCGTGGCTCAACTATATGTTTATCAAGCGACGCGAATACTTTTTGTGCGAAAAAACAAACAAAAATGTGAAACGACAAACAGAAACGAGACTTCCTTAGATTTCCACGACGCATGCGCAAGAATTGCGATCTGCTCACACCAGCTTCACTACTTCAGATCGCAATTCTCGCGCATGCGTCGTGGAAATCTAAGGAAGTCTCGTTTCTGGCCTACAAGGAAGAAAAGAAATAGTCGAATAAACTCGTTATTTTTGTTTGTTTTTTCGCACAAAAAGTATTCGCGTCGCTTGATAAACATATAGTTGAGCCACGGTAGTCACTTGGGATATTTAAACATTTTCTTCATTGACTTTCTGGGCCGTCAAGAGGCAGTCCTTTAGGAGCCAATGTGGTAGTTATACAGCTCTCAAATTTAATCAAAAATATCTTCATTTGTGTTCCGAAGACGAACGAAGGTCTTACGGGGTTGGTACAGCATGGGGGTGAGTAATTAATGACTTAATTTTTATTTTTGGGTGAACTAACCCTTTAATTGTATTAGTTTTTTACTTAAATATTGTTGTTGTTGTTTTGTTGATGATGTATGGTGAATTTGAGTCTCAAGAAAGCGCCTAAAAATAAAATGCATAATAATAATAATACCATTATTTTGGTACTTTTGACTAAGTGCCACTGCCAAAACTGACAAACCAACCAAATGGGGAAAGGGTGCTTGACCCTAAAGCACTCAGGGAACACCCTGATGAATTGTCATCATCATATGATTCATAAAGATAGATTATTGTAAAGGGAAAGGATATATACAGTTCTTCCTCTGAAGTTGAACTCCTAAAAGTCTTAAGGCTAAGTGTAAGGAATTTAGTTTATCTTTTTCAAATGATAAAATGGTCTATTGTTGTGCATGGTTTGTTGTGCATAAAGTACGAATTATCTCCAAAAAAACACTCAAGGTTTGTTTATCAAATCTATGTAAAGTGATTTCCCTTGCATTTGAGATGGTTCTCACTGCAGAACATTTTGTCCACGGGGAGGAGTCGGATCCAGATCCAACTCCTCCCACCTTTCATACACTTAAACCTACCTAACTCCGCCCCCTAATTCCTAAACCCAACCCTAATCCTACCCATCTCCACCCCTTGGATCTTGATCTGACTCCTCTCTGTGGATCTCATGTACTGCATTGAGGGGTTGCATTTCAAACTTGTAAATCTATGCAAAAGTATTTTTGGTAACACTTTAGTTTGATGGTCCCTTTTGAACATTCTGTTGACTATAAGTAACTTTACAACTACATGTCAACTAACTCTAGAGTAGTAGACTGTCTGCTTAATATCTGTTCTTTATTGTGATGCTCCCCTAACACACATTCTACTGCAACTATATGTCAACTTATTTCAACCCTAACCCTATCAGTGTACTAATACTCTACTAATGCGAGTTTGTAGACATGTAGGTGCAAACATGGATCATAGAAGTCAACAGAATGTGTTAAAGGGACCATCAAAATAAAATGAAAGCCTTTTTTTTCAGTGTTCATAAGAAACAGTGTGCCTTAGATACAGATTTCCTGGTAGAATTGCACATAAAATAGCACTGAACTTTGGAAGCACATGGTTTGTGTTTCTGTTCACCTTATTTAAGGCTGATTACCCAACCCTGCTAAATAGCCAAAGGCAATTTTTCATGAAGCTAGGTTTACATTTCAAATACTGCAATGTTTTCAGTGGCCTAAATCACACACTTTGTGTCCTCAGTTTGACGATTCAAGTAATGCCTTAGCATCTCTGACTGTGTAAATAGAAAAGAGTTATTTTCTCATCTTTTCAATAGATATACGTACACTACTGTTCAAAGTTTGTGTCGGTATGACTTTTTAATGTTTTTGAAAGAAGTGTCTTATATGCTCACCACAGCAGCAATGATTTGATCAAAAATACAGGAAAAACAATATTGTAAAATATTATACAAGTTAAAATAACTGCTTTCTATTTTAATATATTTAAAAATGTAATTTATTCTTGTGATTGCAAAGTTTTCAGGATCATTACTGCAGTCTTCAGTGTCACACGATCCTTCAGAAATCATACTGATTTGCTGCTCAAGAAACATCGCACTACTTAATATTTTTCTGAAAACCACTTATTTTAGCAGGATGCTTTAATGAATTGAATAAAATATAGAACGCTTTTGTAACATTATAAATGTATTTTAACAAATACATGGTTTGTTATCAAATCTATGTTTGTTTATCAAATCTGCCGGGGCGGCAGTGGCTCAGTGGTTCATGTGGGTCGAGGTGTCCATGAGCTAGACACCTAACCCCTGCTCCCGACGAGCAGGCTGGCGCCTTGCATGGCTGACACCACCGTCGGTGTATGAGTGAGTGTATGAATGGGTGAATGTGAGGCAAAATGTAAAGCGCTTTGGTGGCCATTAGGTCTATGAAAGCGCTATATAAATGCAGTCCATTTATTTACTGTAACTTTTGATCAATTCAATGTGTCCATGCTGAATAAAAGTATTGATTTCTCTAAAAAAGTGATCCCAAACGTCTTTTACTCATAAAGAGGAAAGGCCAGTCCTCAACGTGTCTAGTGAGCAAATTGCTGTGCTTGACCTCAATGAACACTTAACCTGTTTAGATTTAATGCAATGCTGAAAGAATTTACAGATAGATAAGCTTAACCTTGAGCTCTAGCCTATCACAATACTATGACCAAAACCGCATGCTAGAAATGTTTAAAACAAGTCTTATGAAAGTCAAGCTTATGGAATAGTACTGGATATTATTAAGAATCCCAAGATGACAAGCATCAGAACCAGTAAACACCATGAGTCAGTGTGAAACCTTTGTGATGAGCTGGATCAGAGGCCTGACTCATCTCTGACCCGCTGCCATCTTTGCTGCAACTTGTTCACAGTCTCTTCTACACAGCAGGCTAAAACACAGCAGTTATCTAATCAGTCATTATTATTTTTCAAGGTCCTTGTGCACATGTATATGATAAAAGGGAGACGGAAGAGCTATGTCAAAGTAACGCTGAAGAAACAGGAATGGGAAATGTTGATTCAGAAGCCTTAGAATCTGATATACAGTGAATCATCTCATTTACATTGTGGTTTTAAATCGGTGAGTATACCATTGCATTGCTGTCTAAATTACAGTTCAACAAACTGTGGTGAAACTAAAATGCTGACAAGCACATATCCAAAAGCATGTCTTATTTTTTCTTATCTTTCATTCCTGTCGTTCTTCCTTATCCCTTGCTTCTCTCAACTTTGGCTGCATTTTCTCCCAGAGTCCCAGAGGACATCAGATTATCCAAGTCACAAACATTAAGCAAACAAATACCACATCTGGCAATGAAAAAGTAGAGGGGGAGAGGCAGTCGGTCTCTCCTATGGGTATATAAGAGAGTACATCATCTCTGCCGTCAGTGTCTCTGTTACAGCAACTGAACCTATTCATTCACATTCAGTATGCAGGATCACACTCACAGAGGGGCTCTTCTAGCCTGGTGCCTGGTGTTTTTGGTGATTGTACAGCAGGTAATTATGATTATTTATTATTACTATTTTTTTTTTAATATTTACAAAAAAAATAAAAAAAAATTGCATGGCTCTCTAAATTGAGTATTACACCATCTCAGTTTGATGATATTTCTGTTAGTGTGTTCAATTTTTACTTAAGTGGAATTCTTTTTTAAAAAAAGAAAAGAAAATAATATTTTATATGCTCTTATGCTATTGTTACACATTATTAGGAGCTATATTAAAGGAGCTATAATGCTGCTTTGGTTTAAATGTAGATTTTCCTGTTAATTTACATGATCAAACTAATAGTCAAACTCTTGCAGAAAGGGTTGTGTAATTTGATGTTTTTAATGATGGATATTAAGTTTTATTAGAGCTCATTTACACATAATGTGTTTCAGGTGACCTGCAGCCCTCTGCCACAGTTGGACACACCCTCATCTGTGCAGAAAGTTCAAAGGTCACTGAAGAGAACTGCTCGAATGACCCCATTATGGAGGATCATGGGTACTAAACCTCACGGTGCCTACTGCCAGAACAACTACGAGTGCTCAACAGGAATATGCAGGTAAATACATCACTTAAAGTCATAGAAAAATTGACAATTGTAATTTTTTTAATGGAGTATTGCAGAGTTTAAAAAAAAAAAACTGATTTATCTGTGCACATTTTTCTTTTAATCCACTTGCCCTCGTAATCTTTAACCCAAATAATTTTCCAAAAAACAAAAAAAATTACCAATCAAGTCCCACCTTATGTTGTTTCCTGTTTAAGAAGCCATTTCACTTGGATATACTTGGGTAACAATAGGGAAGAAAAGACTATTGCAACTTCCTTTTCAAACCGACTTTAAACACTAAACTCTTTTTTTCTTTTTCTTGTTGGCATTACTTTCATACTTTTAAAAAAAGAAATGTGAGAACAATAGTCATTGATTCTTTATGTATATTTTCATCCACAGGAGAGGCCACTGTTCCTACAGCCAACCAATTAATTCCTAAAATGAAGACTCCATCTTCCCTCTCTGATCGTGCATGACAAGAGTTTGATTCAATGAGCAACAGGGGCAACTGAATGTGAATGTGCAGTTAATCATCAATTAGATATATAGTTATATCCAATTATATATCTAATAGATCTATATCTATATCTATATCTGACTCCTCTAAAGCCACAAAGGAGGCAATAGGTAATGTTCTGAAGATTGGGCTTATCATAAAGTAGGCTACATAATGTGGACTTTTTCCTCATAACCTCCAACCTACATGCACAGTGTATTGCTATATACAGTAAGCATTATTAGTGAGATTCGATTTACATATTTGATGGACTAATGTGCTGAGAAGGTGATAGAGTACAGTATATGTTATGAAGTATGTCATTTTGGGCCAGATTCCCTGAACCAGATTAAGTCCAATACGTGTCCTGGATATACCTGGAGTAGAGTATGGCCCTTGCCACTAACAGCTCATCTCAGCTCAGGACTAAGCTCAGTCTAAACATGGAAACTGGTCTGTAGTATTAGATCATGTTACTTGAAAGCTATGTATGCAAGTGAAGGCAAGCGTTAACCGTGAAGTGCCTTAGCTCAACCGAAAAGCCGTTGAACCAAAGTTAGTCTATGAGAAAATGGGACAGAGAAAGTGCAAAGGTTGCCATTATTGATCGTGTCTAGATATAATTAACCATTTACCTCCATCCTTTGCCTTTGTCTATGTGCTCATGTTTGAAGTATTTAATTTAAGACTCATTTACCTTTCACTATTTATGTTGTTATAAGTGTCTCATTTCACGATTTCAAAGCATCATTTCAATTTTGGATTACTTATTTATTATTTTTCTCTTTTTATTTAAAATTTTTCTCTTTTTATTTTGTATGATTCAACAGTTCATCAAAAGCTCAATTTTTATGTATCGGACTATATATATATCTATAAGATGTATACTTACTGTACTGTAACTCTATATGTGCATGTCTCATATGAGTGAACTTTGGGGTTCTGAAATAAAAACTTGTACCGAGAAAATTCCCTATATGTCACAAACTCCACTTATTGCCTTCAAAGTTGCACAGATCACTGCAGTTTGCAATGCAGCATATTTCTCAGCAGCGGTTGCTGCTTTTTTGCACAAAATTGTGCATTTAAAAATGTAAAGTTTTGTGAATTGGCCTGAATAGCTGGACATCACTCCACCTTGGAATTATAGGTTCTATCTGACATTTTTGCCAGTTATTCTTACACTGTGACAACTTACACTGAACAAAATTATAAACGCAACACTTTTGTTTTTGCCCCCATTTTTCATGAGCTGAACTCAAAGAACTCAAAAAGACTTTTTCTATGTACGTACACATAATGCCTATTTCTCTCAAATTTTGGGACCCCGACCGAGAGCATCCCAAACATGCTCGCTGGGTGACATGTTCGGTGAGAATGCTGGCCATGAAGAACTGAGATGTTTTCAGCTTCCAAGAATTGTGTACAGATCCTTGCAACATGGGGCCGTGCATTATGATGCTGCAATATGAGGTGATGGTTGTGGATGAATTAATTGCACAACAGTGGGCCTCAGGATCTTGTTACAGTATCATCAATAAAATGCACCTGTGTTCATTGTCCATAATTCAATTCACGGGCAACAGCTCTGGTGGACATTCCTGCACTCAGCATGCCAATTGCACACTTCCTCAAAACTTGCAACATCTGTGGCATTGTACTGTGTGATAAAACTGCACCCTGTTTACACGAGAACGCTCGCGGGTGAAAACGTAAACGATGTGCCTTTCGTTTAGACGGCGACGGCTTTTTTCGGGCTTAAAAATGCAAAAAGGGAAACCACTCTCCAGAGTGGAAATCTTAAAGAATATTAAACCCTAAACAAAATTAGGTAATGATCTGTAAGAATGGATCTTTATTAATACCAGTCATTGATTCGAGTAACTTTTTTGACATTTGTGTATAAAGTGTTTTATTTCTACACTATATGGTGTAAAAACGTCTTATGTGCTGCCCTCTTCAGGTTGAACTGTGGCTACTGCAGTTGAATTTTCCTATTGGATGTTCCGCACTTCGTGACGTACGCAGGTTTCTGCTCACGAGAACCCGTACGAAAAGTCTTGGCACTTCCTATCAGCCCCATTGTGTATCATCTTGGATGCAGTTCCATTAGAATTCCACTGGAGGTGATCAATAAGCAGGGCGAGTGCAGAATGAATGGGAGTCTATGGAGCTAAATGGCTAAATGTGTCTCTTTCTCCTGCTTATTGAATCAAAATAGATTTTATTGTTAATTCCGCAAGTTCAATATAGATTATAGGCCCAAAATCGAATGAACGAGTACTTATGTCCTTTCGATTTCTTACAGGCTGTTGTTGGCCAGAACATGCTATAGCATTCTGCTATTGTGTGATGTCATTACATTTTTGAACAGATTTTTAGAACAGATAAGTGAACTTAAAAATGCAACTTCCAGCTGAGTGTATAGACCTTATGTAGCCCCGCCCCTTTTGACTTCCGGTCTGTATTTTCACAGCAATCTTGCATAGGTATAAATGAACTGCTCGTAAAAAAATTCCCGGTCGACATTTGTTCAGACATCTGCTTTAAAATGCTTATGATAAACATTACAATGCTCATGATATGATGAAATCCCCTTCACCAGCAAATTACTCCTCGACAGCGATGCCATAGAAATATACAGAGTTCAAAGACAATATTATTCTAAAGATGACGGCGCCCACGTTTCTCTGGTGCATAAGGTGTATTATCTTAGCCCTCCGTTTTGAATGCAACTTTCAAATTACTTGACAAAAAATTACATCCTGAGGAAAGTGGATTTCTGGGGGTGAAACCCCATTGACTCCCATTTATTCTGCACTCGACCGCGAGCGCCCCCGCATGGACAGAGACGTGTTACTGCAGCCAGTCCAGAACCCGGAAGTAACCAGCCAGTGCCAATTCTCTTCAATTAGACATTCTCTGAGCTCACCATGCTTTTGGTACGAGCGGCAGTATAAAAACTAGCTTGTTTCGTCAAAACCATTGTAGCGAGTCAGGAGTTGGAATTGCGAGTATTGAAAACAATCAGGATAGAGTGTTTTAGCATCTATTTCGTCCCCTCTATCTCCGCTGGGGTCTGCCCACTTTTTCAGCATTTTTCAAATATTGCCAGTGGGTGGAGTCAGGCTCTGACCAGGGGTTTAGTTACCCTTTAAAAATGCTCCACCGCCGCATTCCCGTCTAAAGGGTAAAAACGCAAAAGTCTGCTTGACAGTGAAGGTTGTACGCAGGCGCACGGACTTGGTGTTGTTGTATTAAGGACTCCTGGCCGCCTGAAGTGCATACTACATTGAATTTCTCACACTTTTGCATCACCATATGCGCGCGGATTTCCCACACAAAACACTTGTCTAAACGCAGAATGAAAAGTGATAACGCAACGCCACTTTTGCATTTTCTCTTCAGAATCGTTTCCGTGTAAACATAGCCTTAGAGTGGCCTTTTATTGTGGCCATGCAGCCTAAGGCACACCTGTGCAATAATCATGCTGTCTAATCAACAGACATGCCACGCCTGTGAGGTGGATGGATTATCTCGACAAAGGAGAAGTGCTCACTAACACAGATTTAAACAGATTTGTGATTGTGAACAATGTTTGAGAGAAATAGGCCGTTAGAAAAAGACTAAGATCTTTGAGTTCAGCTCATGAAAAATGGGGGCAACAAGTGTTGCGTGATTAATTTTGTTCAGTGTATGTACATTATGTGATTTTTTATGTTGTGTAACTTTTTAGGACCTTTTTATTTAATCAAAACTCTCCCAGCGCTCTACCAGCAAATTTGGTGCTATATATATATCAGTACAAAAATGAAAAAAAGGTCTGCACTCCAAGAATACATTATTTGCTACAAACAGGAGATAAAGAATATACAAACGTGTCTTCGAGACTGACGAAGGCAAAAGCTGTAACGTTTGTACATTCTTTATCTCCTGTTTGTAACAAAAAAGTATTTTTAGAGTGCAGACTTTTTTTTTTTTTGCATTTTTTGGACTTTTTATTTAGAATCTACAAAGTCGAATGTAATGCAAAAACACATAATTCCAAGGTGGCGATCAGTCATTTGTCAAGCAAGCCTCAGTGGTGTGGTCAGGGTTCCTGAACTCAGACCATGGGACCCATGCAGCACACAGCAGCCATTTGACTGATATGGCAGACCTAGACTTCAAAAAGGTTAGCCAAGCTTGTGCAATGAATAGAGATAGCGTTCAGAGACGTATAAATCATTGTTGCTTATGTTCAAATGACAATTTGAAATTGGCAATCTATGACAAGTTTGCTGCCAGACAGATATATCAAGAGGCTATATGAAGTCACATGGGGGCAGAGCTGTGCAGCAGATTGACACTAAGCATGCCTTCAGAGTGACAAAGAACTATAGAATTCATAAAATCATAGATAAGTTCCTAGAAATCTTTGTCATCCCTCCTGACCGTCAGAGTGCTTTAAGTGCTAAACACCAGATGACCCACCACAAGAAAATATTAACTTTTCGGAATGAAACATGAAGGCGAGTATCTTATATGTCCCAACATAATTATTAATGTTTTGGTAACACTTTATTTGATGGTCCCTTTTCAATTTTCTGTAGACTATAAGTGACTTTGCAACTACATGTCAACATTAGTGTATACAGTAATTAGTAGACTGCATGTCTGCTTAATATTTAGTAACTCTTTACTATGATGATCCCCTAAATAACAGACATTCTACTGACTATTTAGTAACTTTGCAACTACATGTCAACTTATTCAAACCCTAACCCTATCAGTCTACTAATACCACTAACACTTTAATGCGAGTTTGTAGACTAGACATGTATGTGCAAAGTTATAGTGAGCAGAATGTGTTAAAGAGACCATCAAAATAAAGTGAAACCTTGCTTTTCAGTAATAAGGCACATATTCAATAAAAAATATATTTAGCCTATATATAAAAACATTAACTGGGATAAAGCAATTAAGCAAGGGGGAAATGTGGAAAGGGATTATGTGGCCACAAATCACTGTCTGGAATTAGAGGGAGGAAGGTGAGATGATGAGCAGACATTAAAAAAGTATTTAAAAAAAATTTATTTTAAAATATATATATATATATATATATATATATATATATATATATATATATATATATATATAAATGAATTTAAACATAAACAATTAATTTAATTTAAAATTAATTTAAACATAAAAAAATCAAAAAATTAAAAAGAAAATCTTGGAATTCAGACGACATAAGTTGAGATGTGAGGAAACAAATAAATAATTCTTCAAGCAAATTTAAACTTTAAGCAAATTTAAATTAAAAAGTCCTTAAAATAAATTTAATGATGATTAAAATCTGACCTAGAAACATGATAGGGTGAGACTATACTGCCACTTAGTGGACACGAACAAGACATTTCTCTATGAATGTGGCAATGTGCTTTTGGTAACTTATGCAAAAGGAAAAAATAACTGGTCACCGGCCTAAATGTTTCTACATGTTATACACAACACTGAATACTTACAAAGAATTATACACAGACTGAGCATTACAAAGTGTTCTTACTGTTACAATCAATCTACTTAGCACCAAAGAAAATAATCAAATTATCCAATTTTGGGTTTGTTTACATAACAAAATATAGCCAAATCTTTGTATTCGTGTGTTTAATAACACCCCCATCCACCCAAGATTCATGTGCATAGTTTTTTTTTACTTTATTTTTTTTAATTAGAATTCAAGTTACGAATACAAGCATCACAGCTCGTAAACAAAATATTATTCAGCGAAAAATGAATAAACACCAAAATAAAGTTAATTTATAAAATAATTAAATTAAATCAATCAAAATAATAATACATAAATAGACAGACTTACAAACTTCATTATTTATAAAAAGAAAAATATTTTGCATTAACGCAGGTTCAGCATGACGTCAGGAATAACGTTTTCTGTATAAGATGAGTAGCATATCTTGATTATGCTAATCTTTGAGGTGAAAGTTTTAACTCCACTTAAGATCTCCAGCCTTTTCAGACTTGTTCATATAAACTGACATGCTTTCAAAAGTGTGTCGCTATTGTAGGCTATGCATATAATTGAGCTCACTGTCACTGTTATTTTGAAAAGTCGGAGGATCCTCCCAACTGACTGTACCTCACGAGTGTGTATGGTGTGCACGAGAAATTTACTTTCCTTCCGGATTTTGCCCTTAAGTGAGCAGGTTTGTTTATGTTTACTGAATCTACGCACGTTTTGTCGGGAAAAACACCTTTTGTAGTTTGGTCATGACTCATGAAGCGAGAGCTTCTAAGCACCATGCAGCCCTTTGACAACTTTCAAGTTCGTTCAGCTCGCCTCCTGTTCTTAATGTCCAAATTGGTTTATTGCAGGAAGATGTTGGTGGATTTTGAAGCATAAAGATTTTTCGCAAAACTGCTTGGCACTAAAATGAGGAGTCGCAGCAATTCTGGAGTTAAACTTGACAACTATGCGCGGATAGTTCATCAGACTATTCTACGTCACCAAGTGAGTGTTTCATTTCTAACGTTACACTGACTAAAGAGCTTGTTTTCACTAAACATGCCTTCATTCAATGAAGTTCTTATAAGTAGTATCACATTGTTGATGTTCTTTAGTTATTGGATCTGTATTTATGTACATTATATAAAAAAATATATCCCATTTTTGTGTTCTGTTAATAACAAACAACCAAACACTTTATAAAATGTATAATAAAATCTACATCATGTATTTCAGGGCCGAGTTTGACTAGGGTTTGGTGCAAAAATAGGGTCTGGAAAGTGACAATATCGACCAATTAGGCTACTCAAACGTGTAATTCTGTTAATTACTCATTTATTTATCTGTGCTAGTGTGCTTATTTATTTTTTCATTTAATTCAAAACTCAGATTGAGTATTTGACATAGGCTAAGTAAAACACATTATGTGATTTTACATGGTTACAAATAATACACCGTCCTTCATAAAGATAAAAAAACCCCCATGAATATAAATTCCAGGGCAAAAATTTGTGAAATGTTAAGAAAGGTCAGTAAGATTGTAATTGTTTAAAAAAAGGCTCACCATTTATTTGATAAAAATAAAGTAAAAATAGTGATAATGTGAAATATTATTGCTATATAAAATAACTTTTTTATATTTTAATATATTCTATTTAATTTATTCCTGTGATGGCAGAGCTGAAGCATCATTACTCCAGTCTTCAGTGTTGCATGTTGCTTCAGAAATCATTATACAGTAATATTCTGATTTGCTGCTCAAGAAATCTTTCTTACTATTATCAATGTTGAAAACAGTGCTGCTTATGATTGTTGTCGAAACTGTGATAAAAAAAAATCAGGATTCTTTGATTAATAGAAAGATTGAAAGAATACCATATTTGAAATATATTTTTGTAACTTTAAATACGCCTTTACTGTCAATTTGATTTAATGCGTAATTTCTGAATAAATGTATTAATTTACTTTCAATGTACTTTAAATGTATTTAATATCTTTCTTACTGATTACTAACATTGAACAGTAGTCTACATAATGTATAGTTTACCATATACTATGTATTTGTGTTATACTCTATGTGGTAAAGGTAATTCTTGCTTATTGATTAGTTGGATAGTATGCAAACCGAGGGCAATGGCAGAGCAGATTTATCATGTAGTTATTAATCATTTTAACTAACTGTATTGGAAATTTGCAGGACCCTGTGACAGGCCTGTTACCAGCAAGCAAAGAGCAGCCTGATGCCTGGGTGAGGGACAATGTCTACAGCATCCTGTCTGTCTGGGCTCTTAGTTTGGCTTACAGGAAGAATGCAGACCGCGATGAAGACAAGGCTAAAGCCTACGAGCTTGAGCAGGTACAACCTGGGACGGGACATGTTTGTTTAGATTTTTTTTGTTTTATTAATCCATTGGAATTTTTAAGATATTTGTTCAGTAATCACATTTGTTCATTCACATTTTGTTCAACAAAACCAACAAACTCAATATGTTCGACTGCATGACAGTTTGTGATCACGCGAGCAAACTCTAGCAACCATTGAATAATCTTCATTCGAATGATCTTAAATTAGACGCCACACCAAAATATTCACCTGTGGCTATTTTAGAGGCTATTTCTGTGCGTGTTTTTTGTGTGTTTTTTTTTAAAGAATGGTCAGTTGTCTTTTCATGCCCCATGTGTGTATGTATCAGTGTACCTAAGCTGTCTCTTTACAGTGGGCTCAGAAGTGTCATGTTACTCTTGCCTGTGCTATTAAACGATGAGCCGAAAGGTCACAGTCGAGCCTGTTCCAAGTGTTGTTTTTGGAGGCAGTCTGTGTGCACTGATCTCTGTTTTTCTTCTTTCAGAGTGTGGTAAAATTAATGAGGGCACTTCTTCAATGCACCATGCGACAGGTACCATCAGCTCTTAACACTGAAGAGAAGACTGGAGTAATGGCAGCTGAAAACTCAATTTTCCACACATGTGCAAAACATATAGTCTGTTGACTATAGGTAAAGTTGCACCTAGATGTCTACTAAGTCTCATTAGAGTATTAGTTGACTATAGTAGACTGTTAGGGTTAGGATTAGTTGAATAAATTGGCATGTACTTGCAAAGTAATTTATAGTCAGTTAATGTCTGTTGGGGAACACCAAAATAAAGTGTTAGCAGATTTTAAGCAGACAGTCTACTATTACTCTACTGAGAGTAAGCTGACATGTAAGTGCAACATTACTTATAGTTACTTATAGAAACTCTGTTTGGGGACCATGAAATTAAAGTGTTACCTAATTTACAATATTAATGTTTTTAATGTATTTTTGATCTAATAAATGCTGCCTTGGTAAACATAAGGGACTTTTTTCAGAAACATAAAACAAATATTACAGACCCCAAACGTTTGATCGGTAGTCTACTTTACAAATGCACGTGCATAATTATGTATCATTATCTGTCAGTCTTGAAAGCACCCCTTTAAGGGTCAAGATTAAATGTGCATAACATAAATGACCACTTGTCTGAAGTGTTCTCTCTTGTCCCCCCACAGCTGGACAAAGTGGAGAAGTTCAAATACAGTAAGAGCACTTTGGACAGCCTTCATGCCAAGTATAACACTCAGACCTGTGCCGCGGTGGTGGGTGACCGGGAATGGGGGCATCTCCAGCTCGACGCTACCTCCGTCTACTTGCTCTTCTTGGCTCAGATGACTGCCTCAGGTACTCCAGAGGAGAAATGTAGTGAATCACAAGTAATAAAATAACTTTCTTTATCATTATGAAAATCAACAACTAACATGGCTGTTAGTACTCACTAACAAGCTAACATATCGATACTGGTAAAGTTTAAAATATATTGAGTTCGGGTACGAGCTAGTAACATAAGGCAAAGCTAATAACAGGTTGCATTAATACACGTTTTCACAGGTGAATTTCGCGTAAGATTCATAACACATACGGTGTTTTGCATGTAAGAGTTTCCACAATGAAAGCACTGTTTGTTCTGATGAGGACTACACTCTGGAGACATCGACACCGGCTCAAGGACAGGTGGGCCGCTCCAGTAGCAGCAGGGTGGTAGCCATGGTGGCGCGGGACTGTCGCCCAGCCAATTATTTAATTCGTCCCGAATGGAATAATGAGCAGAGTTTATTTGCCTACAGACTCGATTTTTATAATCTCTTTTTCAGAGTACTTACAGTACATTTTAATTATACATTGATAAATAAAGACACTTTAAACAAATTTGGACCTAAACAAAAACTACCTACCATACCTTGTACATGTCTAACCTAAAACTACCTAGTACATGTCTAACTAGATTTACTGTTCATTGACAAAACAGCAGTGTGAGGTGAGTAAGAGTCTGATTGGCTGCGGTCAGTTTACTTCAGCCCAGCATTACCTTCTCCCACATATATACTTTGCTGTGTCTTATGTCCTTTTAGGGCTACATATAGTGTACACTCAGGACGAGGTGGATGTAGTCCAAAATCTGATGTTTTACATTGAAGCTGCTTACAAAGTGGCTGTAAGTCTCTCAGTATTCATCATTTAGGTCTTATATATGTTTTAGCTTGTGAGACGCTGTGTGTCTGTGACTGAAAGTTTCTCCCATACTGTTCAGGACTATGGGATGTGGGAGAGAGAGGAGACAAAACCAATCAGGGGATCCCTGAGCTCAATGCCAGCTCAATCGGGATGGCTAAAGTGAGTCTAACAAAACAAAATAAACAAATTTACTGTCCTTCTTTTTGTCTGTGTCTCTCTCTCTTGCTCTCTCTCCGTCTCTCACACACTCATTTCCACTTAATGTTGTCAGTCCTTCTTTGAGCAGCTGAGAACTCTCAGACGTGCATGGGGAGGGGTTCACACTGTGTGTTCATGAACACTGTCTATTAACGTCTCTCATGAACATAGCCCAATGTAACCTCTACATGGCCTCTCTGGTATTAATGTTCCTTCCCAACTTACTCTGCAAGCTTGTGTCATTTCTATTTGTTCCTCTTGCGACACTTTGCTCTGAGAAGAATGGTCTGGTTGTTCTCTGTCAGAGAAGACGGTACCATTTTAAGGGCAAGGAACTAGCCCTTAACCTCATTTAATACAACACTCAAAAAAATTATATGTTGGCTTTAATTAATTTTATTTCATCAACAGGTTCCACATAACTGAATTACGTTAAACAAACATAATTTGTTCATGTAACTTCAACATCATGAAATTAAGTAATTTCAACCGACCCAATTTAAGTAGTCTCAGCGTGAAATTTTAAAGGCTTCCTGACATGATTCATTAATCCATAGTATTTCATTTATTTTAGTGACGCATAATTAAATTGATAGACTATAGCTAGCTATTTGCTAACAGTAGCACATATTAGCAATAGAAAATAGAAATAGAAAAAAACTAGCAATAGAAACAATTTTAATCATTCGACAACCAAACAAAATGTTCCACTCTTCTCCACAATGGTAAACCGCTGTAATTTAAATGGTTCTAGAAATTCTAATGTAATTTTACATTAAACACAATTACACACTATCAAGTCTTCGCCTTTTCCAAATTTCTCAAAAAAGATAAAATAACACTTAATTTTAACATTTATTCTCTCTTAATTCAACCATATGCAAAGCATGCAGAGAACTACTGTAACTAGCACCGCAAAGTTTCAGTTAATGCAACACAAATCAATCATGTAATCCAACACAAACGGATTAAGTAAACTTAAATTGTACATATATTTAGAAGCAGATTGAACACAATCAAATTAAGTTCTGGCAAAATGGCAGTTGGCACGCACTATACTGCCACCCTCTGGATGTACGAAATTTTTTACTCAACATAAATGGTTTGTGTTTAGACAACAGTGTTGGGAGTAACGCATTACAAAAGTAATACATTACAGTAACATATTACTTTTTGCTGTAACGCAGTAGTGTAAGGCATTACTAATCAATTTTCAGTAATATTTTACTCGTTACATGTTCAGTGAGGCTTGTATTACAGTTGTATTACAGTGTATTGTCTGCTTTTACTTCTTAAAGGCAACAGACTATGTGAAAGTTTTAAAGCAGTCTTTTAGTGCCAGTTCAGAGCGGTCGCGTCTATAACATTGTTTTTTCCTCATAAATGCGAACACGAAAACTAAAATAAAATGAATATTTTAAGTTCTATGGAGACTGGAGAGCCAACCCTTCCTCATCCGATTTGCGCAGTGTAATTAACAGAATTACAAAAAATCGATTTTGCCTCCTATTTTTTTTGTCACGCATGAATGTGTGTCTTTTCCCTAATATTAAAAATAAAACAGACTGATATTTGTCTAATGTCTGGAGTCCTTTAAGGAAGTAGCCTATATACGTTTCAATACATGTATTTTCTTAGAATTTTTATTTCAAGTTTTGACTGCAAATGTCATCATGTCCATAATGCTGGACTTCCCCAATTTTAAATAATTTACCCTCAACTAGTTTTGTGGTGTCTACGTATTTTATAATGTTAACTTCAAATAATACTAATAGCCTAATTTATAGATAAGGCAGCATTGGATATGGACGGTAAGGAGAATAACGCTGGAGTTGGTAGAGGTTTGTCGCGATTCTGTAGGTTCGTTGATCTGAGTCGTGTGGCGAATCGTGATTTCCGTTTCATATTGCATATCGTTACAGCCCCAAAGTTGAGTTCTACTTAGTTATTTTGGTAAAAGTAACTAAAAAGTAATACATGAGTAATGTAACGCATTACAATTCTGGGACAGTAATATTGTAAGGTAATGAATTACTTTTAAATAACAGTAACAAGTAATACCTAATGTATTACAGTTTGGAAGTAACTTGCACAACACTGTTAGACAACACGTAGGATTTTGTACTGTTAAGTTGAGACATAATTACAGAGAACTTAATACAAAAAAACACAATTATTATAAGTAAGCTAAATATAAATATATTATGTAAAGTGCACAACCTTCCTAGTTAACTTTTTTGAGTGAATGTACCCATTTTAATTCAGAAAAATAAGTATTAAAAATTAAATTGTGGCAACCTCAATGATAAAACACTCATCTCTGGCAGAGAAGGCTATCCCTAATTTGTAGTCTGTAGCCCTGAATTTCAATTCACAGTGAATAAATATAGGCTTTGTTCTGACTATTGAGTTGAGATTCTTGCTAGGACAAAATACTGTAACAGCCCATGAATGGACCCTTTGTAACTGCAGGCAGCACTTGAAGCCCTTGATGACTTGAATTTATTTGGGGCCAAAGGGGGACCTGACTCTGTGGTTCATGCCTTAGCAGATGATATCCAGCACTGTCAGGTGAGACTATAGATATTCCAGTGCTTTGGATTTCCCTATGTATTGTTTTTCAGCATCAGCATGCTTTATAAAATTATGATTACTGTCCTCCTACTACCATATATTTCTCTCAGTCCATTCTGAGCTCCTTGTTACCCAGAGCTTCGACATCTAAAGAGGTGGATGCTGGGCTCCTGTCCATCATTTCATATCCAGCCTTTGCTGTGGAAGACATGGAGTTAGTTAATATCACTAAAGAGGAAATCATCTCCAAGCTCCAGGTCAGATCTTGATCTCCGACATGAGGAACTTGTTTAACAGCCGTCTGTCTCTGACACTAGGGTGGTTTATTCCTTTTACTTGCATTTCTTGTCTGTAGGGAAGATATGGCTGCTGTCGTTTCCTTAGAGATGGCCACAAAACTCCTAAAGAGGTCAGTATATTCAACACACAGTTAAATCAGCTCACTTATAATAAAAATGTTCTATTCATAATTCAATGACCTACTTAATTGTGTTTTGTAAATATAATTAAACAAATATTTTGATGGCTGCAACACACTCAAAAAAAAGTTGAGACAGGTAAAATAAAAGTGAAAAGATTATAAAAAAAACAAAACCATCTATCAAACATGATATTGTGAAAAGATTCAGGAAATCCAGAGAAATCTCTGTACAGTAGGGCAAGGAAGGAATTTTCGAGCTGTCATGCTAATGTGTTAAATATTGCTCGGAAGCACTTTGAAAAACGTTCACTTTAACGCAATCTGCCGCTGCATCAAGAAAAGCAACTTAAATCTTTGTTATGCAAATGAAAACAATACGTCAGTTCTTTGCAGAGATGCCACTGAGTCCTCTAGCCCCGAGATCATGTCAGACGGTCCAAAACACAGTGCAAATGTGTGCTGTGTTCTGATAAGTCCACATTTCAGCTTGTTTTTGAGAAAAACTGACATCAAGGTATCAGTTCCAAAGACAAAAGGGACCATCCAGACTTTCATCAGTGACAAGTGCAAAAGCAAACATACTGTATGTCATTGTATGGATGTGCATCAGTGCAAACGGCATGGGTGACTTGCATGTATGTGAAGGGACCACTGACTTAGAGGCATTGGGATTATACAGAGACATCAAGATGACATCTTTCTTGGGAAGTCCATGGTTATTAGGGCAGACAATGACAGGCCTCATTCTGCACATTCAACAACAGAGTGGTTTCGTAGACACTCTACACCTGCAGTCTAGATCTTGCTCTTATTGAAAATGTATAGCCCATCATGAAAAGAAGACAACGACAACCATGGATTGTTATGCAGCTGTCTTGTATTAGGCAAAAGTTCCTCTTTTATCTTAAATTTTCCTAATCTTCAATTTTTTATCTTCAATTATCTTCAATGCCCAAATGATTAAAAAGGTGATGCTGTGTTAAACATAGACACATAGACATTGCTGGCTGCGACACATTACAAAAGATTTGGGACATGTTTTTTTTACATTTACATTTACATAATACAATTAAGTTGGTCTGGGAAAAAATGGAAATCTTTTCTTTGTATTGTTGTCAGTTTTAGTAAAGGTTTAAAATAATTAATGAATCACAGATTCATGATTTTACTGCATTTTACAACATGTCCCAACTTTTCTGCAAATGGGGTTGTACAAATACTTTATAATATATATATATATATATATATATATATATATATTATAGCAGCAAATACATTAAATAATAGATTGAATATGAAGACTTATTACAGAAATGTAAATATGTAGCTGTGTAACTTTAGTCTTCTCTAAATATGCCTTAAATGAACTAAGTTGATCATAATTGTCAAATGCATGACCTTTTTTCCCAATAGGACCCCAACAGGCTGTACTATGAATCTGCGGAGCTGAAGCTTTTTGAAAACATTGAATGCGAGTGGCCACTTTTTTGGACCTACCTAATCTTGGATGGCATCTTCATCAACAGTCCAGAGCAGGTACCTACATTCATTATTTTTTAATCCATCTCATTCTTGTAATATAAAGGATTATAATCAAAATTTAAGGGTATTTCTACCCTACATTTCTACCAGCCAGGGTTTGCCAAACGAGAGCTAGGATTAGCACACAAAGCATTGAGTGCTACTGAATTGTTTGTCTATTCTTTAGTGCACTTTGTTTTCTAATCAAACCTATTACATGATATATTTTGCATAAGTTTGTTAATAATTGTCACTTGGCTAAATATTTAGCTAAAGATACTGAAATCACCAAAATACTAAGAATCAGTGGCAAGGGCTAGTGCAGATGCTAGTGTGATTTCAGACATAGTGAAGATACTGTTGCAGGAAGTTTAAAGTTACATTTAGTTAGTTAGTTATACTAGTAAAGGCTGGAATACTCTACACAACTTCAGTACAGATTTTTGCCCCAATTTGCAGTCTGAAGGAGTCAATGCTAGTTAGATCCAGTCTGCAGGTTTTGGGCAGTTGGAGTTGAAAGATTCGCAGGCAGCTGCGTAGTACAGTATGTGATCCTCGGTCATTTAGTGTATGATGCACATTTTTGTAACCATTTACATTCACATTTAGAATGCCTAGTGTTTTAAAATCTGATGGTAAAAGTTGTGTTGTTTATTTCAAGTGGATTAGAGCGAATTCAGAAGGCTTCTGGCAGCAACTGTAAAGACTTTAGCAAAGGCAAAGCTTTAAGAGTGACTTTCTGGAGGTTAAAAATAAGTCAAACAAGATCATTTCTGTCCTCTCAGGTTCAGGAGTACCGAGAAGCTCTGGAAGGTATCATGATCAAACAGAAAGATGGTATACGGCTGCTGCCTGAGCTCTATAGTGTTCCTCCTGATAAGGTAAGACACTATTAAATTCATTTTTTTAAACAAAAAATGGAATATCAGTGAAATTTCACTGGATTCATGTCAACTTAGAATTTCATGTCAAAATTCTGATGAAATTTGCTCTTTATACTTTTGATAACATAGTTTTTTTCCCCCATTTTTTCAGGTGGATGAAGAGTATGTTAATCCTCACACAGTGGAGAGGATCCCATTGGGAAAGTGCCCTCTGAAGTGGGGCCAGTCCCTTTATGTCCTGGGCAACCTTTTGGCAGAGGTGAGAGGTTACAGGTCATGTCTTTGCTATACTTACAGGTCAAAGCTTTGTACCAAGCACTAGTTGCGTTAGACTTTCTCGTAAATATGTAATCTTAATCTATAATTATTCTTCATTTTAATTTCCATATTTTAATGTTGAGACATTTGATTGAATTAAAAAAATGTGAACTGAAAAAAAAAAAAAACAATCATTAACTTAAAGGTTGAGTTTATAGAGTGCCGAAGTGATGACGTCACTTTGTAGGACAACTCGGAAGATAGCGGCGCATATGGGTTCCCTCGGTCGAAAAGCAATGCAATTTCCCCATAGACTTTTGGAAAATCGCAAAAAATAAGATCTGTGTTCAACAAAGAGTTGTGACCCTTAGACGTTTTGTCTAGCAAGATTATCTTTACAAGTTAATCCAAAATGTATACATTTTGAAGCCTATATAAAGATCTTAAAAAACACAATCAGACACAATAAAGTTTTAAAAAACACAAGCAGGTTATTATAACTGTGTGTTCTATGTCATAGATCAAAACGTGAAAATATTTAGAGGCTTTGTTCACCACAGACCTTATTTCAGGCGATTTAGCAAAAACTCATTCAAAAATTCCATAGGCTTTAGAGCGAGGGAACCGTAGTGCTAAAATGCTAACTTACTTCCGCATTTTGGCCTACAGAGTGACGTCGTAACTTCGGCACTCTAGACCAGATTATGCAAATACAGCATGTCCTCCTTCTGCACCAGTGACCACCAACTGGACAAGGGTGGGAATTACAATACAAGTTAGAGTAGATCACCCTCATAATCTGTCAAAATGACGGACCGCCTTCCAATATAAAAAAAAATAAATAAAATAATCAGTCAATGATGTAAAATATTCGGTTAACACAGTCTTTCGTATCAAGTTATATTTAGGGAAGTATGAAAAACACCTCTACCTTTCCTATCCTATCCTTTTCAGGGTTTTTTGGCTCCAGGAGAGATAGACCCTTTAAACCGCAGGTTCTCAACCATCCCTAAACCGGATGTTGTTGTACAAGGTATTTTTCAACATTTTTAACCAATAGCTGATGTGATGCATTGCATGGTTAAAATTCATCTGGATGTTTGCATTTTGTTCTGATAAGTGTCCATCCTTGCTGAGAATGAAGATATTAAGGCACTCCTGCAGAAGAATGGGATTGATGTGGAGACAGTGGCAGACATCCACCCCATCAGAGTGCAGCCATCTCGGGTTCTCAGCCACATTTATGCTAGACTAGGTAGGAAGAGGTACACCATAATAAAGTCTCACTTGATACTAGTATAAAGAAATACAAAAACACGCTATTGCTTTTGACAGTCAGCTATATTTTCAGTAGACAGACACAAATATTTGTTTCATGTAATTAGGGAGTGTGTGTGTTTGCCTTTCTCCAAGGGCGTAATGAGAGACTGGGGCTGACCGGCAGACCTTACCGTAGGATTGGCGTGTTGGGAACCTCCAAGCTTTACATCATCCGCAACACCATCTTTAGCTTCACACCTCAGGTTCTTCATAATGTGCTGAACTAGGCATGTTTGAGCCTTATGTTGACTTAGAGAGCCACTGCTTATCACTCAGCAGAAGTTAAATAAAAATAAGTTGGCGAGGCAGAAATTACTCACATAAAGCTTTTAAAATATACCCTAAATGTTCTCTCTTTCATTTCACATGATTTTACATTACTTCATGTCTCTGGGTTTGTCACGTTGCTGTACTGTAGTTCATAGATCATCAGCAGTTCTATCTGGCCCTGGACAACAAGATGATCGTGGAAATGTTGCGCACTGACCTGTCTTACTTGTCTTCTCGCTGGAGGATGACTGGGCGTCCTACCGTCACCTTTCCTGTTTCCCAGACCTTGCTTAGTGAGTAAAAACTAGTGCCTCTGATAATGTAGGGTCAACGAGAAAACAATATTAAATTTGAAGTGTGTAGGTTTTTCCTAATTTTTTGTGTGTAACTTCTTAGACCATGACCACACAGACTTGGAACCTGCTGTGCTGGCCACACTTAAGAAGCTTCAGGATGGCTACTTTGGAGGGGCAAGGTCAGATAATGAGGATGTAAATAAATATCATATCATCAACAATACACATTCAATGGCCCTCTCCGCTCACTTGCTTGCTGCTCTCAATTTTGCTAGGATCCAGACTGGAAAGTTATCTGAGTTTGTGACCACGTCTTGTTGTGCTCATCTGAGCTTCCTCGATAGTGGTAAGACACGCTCCAGTGTGGGCTGGGATGAAGATGATGATGTTGAGGACAGCTACTTTAGTGGTGCTGTGCATGACCTGAACTTCAGTGATGGTAAGGGGAAAGAATGAATATTCTGGCAAAGAGATTTTGTTTGAAATGGTCAGATTACTGATGTTGGTAATGTGAGTTGAAGTCCTTGATGTAGGGTTGTGATTTAAACAGCACACGTTGGTAAACTCTGTTCCTTTGTGTGCTATTGTTATGTCGTTCTGAGGACGTTCTGTCCTCATTTTACATTGATATTATGCCTAGGCTACATTTTAGCATAAATGTTCCCACATTTTATTTATTTTAAAGAGGTCATGATCTGGCTTTTTAAATTTGATTATATTGTTGTCTGAGGTCAACTTATGACATTCGCTTGGTTTTTGCATTCAAAAACATCTAAATGAATAAGTAATAAGCTATTTTGTACCCAAGTTGTGAGCCAACCTGAAAAACGCTTGGTTTTTATGGGAATCTCGCACTGAAGATTTGGAGGTAAACGCCCACTGCTGTGAGTGGATAACAGTTTTGCATATTATAATGAGTTTCAACTTACCTCGTCGATGCACTTGGGGGAAATTGTTTTGACATCGTCCAATGTTGTAAAATGGCAACCGGAATGATTCGACCCAGAGTCCGTGTGTTGCACCATTCCTGTCAGATCCAATATAGACGGCACAGCACCGTTCATTACTCTTAATTGGTCTGCAAATCCAGTCTTGTTTACAAAACAATCCTTAGGGAAATGAAGCGAACAGACGGACGATGTTTTACCTCATCAGCTGGAACGTCATTAAAAATATTCTGTATTGCTAGGTAGCTCGATCCGGATTGTCATAATGACTCAAGAGGTAGGCATCTATTTTATTTAGCTATGCGTGGATGCGCGAATCAGTGGGCGGGGCTAAACCTGCCACGTTGATCTTCTCCTGCGGGGGTGGTGTTTTATCCTCTTTGACGTCATAGTTCCCCACTTTTAAAAACGAGTCGTTTGCTGACCCTGGTGTCAATAAAAGCTTTTATTGGACTAACAAGGATGTTTTCAGTTCTGAAACTTACAGGATATTCTTATAATACGATGACCTCTTAGATGTCAAAAGCTCAAGGAAAATTTGATTTCTCAGTTTATCACCCCTTTAATCTTTTGAGTCTGATCTTTTGGGAGAGTTTGTGTAATGGATTTTAAGTACACTAAATGACCTTAACAGTATTTATAATGTAGAATTTGCTGGACGAAACATTTAAACATCTCTGACCTTCAACTCTTCTGGTTTACTTTGGCATCTTAGCCTTTTTTCTCCACCATCATTGCAAAATGTGTTATTTTGATGTTGATCATTTGCAGTGAGCACTTGCAGTGTGAAAACCGCATCATGTCTTTAAAGATTCTTGCATTGTTTATATTACTTTATTGTGATTTTTTTTCTCTTCTTTTCCAAATTCCTGTTAAAAATTAAATGGATGATTGATTTATAAAAAATCCCCCCGAATAATCTGTGTTCTCAAGCTTGAATGATTCTCCAAGGAATGCATTTACCCTTAAGGTGATGATACAGGATGATGTTCCTTGGGCACTTTCCCATTGAGAATGGGCAACAAATTTCTATCTGGATACTTTAGATCAGTCGTGGGCTCTGTCTCACCTGGTTGCCGTTGACGACAAAATTCGCCAGCAACATTACTCAAAAAGTTGCCCCGTGTATCATCACGTTTAGACTGCAGGCTGTAATGTCACATAATGCATTGCAAACTGCTTTACTTGAGCATCTTGCTGCTCCACATCCAACCCAACAACCTCTCTTTCTCTCGTCTCTTTCTTTCTTATCCTGAGTTTTCTAACCCTTTCTTTCTCAGATACAGATGATCTAGCACAATACTTGGACCAGCTGTTAACTGCAACGGTGCCTCAGCGGGGACTCAGAGTCGAGGGAGAGGCGAAAGGACTGAGTCGCTTCAAGGCTGCAGCCATTAAGACACGTGAGATGGTGTCTCTTATGAACAAAGCAAAGGAGCTCCAAATCCACGGTGAGCTGAAATAATGAACTCTTGCAACAACCAACCAATAAGGCAAATAGTCAGCAATGAATCACAAAATTGATTAGTTGGGTCTTTTGTGCTCATAGAATCATTGAAGTAGCAAATATATTTTTTTACTTTGAAAAATAGCATTGCAAGATGCAGTGGAAAAAAGAGCAGGATGCATGAAGGGATGATGTTATATTAAAAGCTTAAAGGTGTGTAGTTTCACCTGACCAGGCTGCCACATAACTTGCTTCAAGAGCCTGGTCCTTTTTTACATGATTCTATCATTGTATACTCGCCCTCATGTCATTCAAACTTGTCAGCAAAAGATATATATATACTGTATTTATATATGAGATGTTTTTTTCAAAATATTGTCCTTTACTTTCCACAGAAGACAGAATATAATACAGGTTTGGAATGACATGAGCGTGATTAAATGATGACAGAATTGTAATTTTTGAGTGAACAAGCAACAGTTGAGGCAAAAAGAAAAAAAAAAAACTGTTATTTGGAAGCAAATCTGTCAGGCATTTGTCTTACAAGGCAAAGAGTATACCATTTGCATGTCTACATT